AATTTTTTACAATGCGCTTGAGATTAGAGAAGCCTCTAGGCTCGTCCGCTAAGATTGTTGGTCGTCGATTTAGAAAAAAGTAACGGAAAAGTAACGAAAAGTTACTTTCTCAAGTAACGGTAACTATAACAAGTTACTTTTAAAAATCGGTAACTAGTAACGGTAACTTGTTACTTTTCCTACTCGATAACGAGTAACTGTAACTTGTTATTTTTAAAAAGTAACTGTCCATTCCCTGGATTATTTTAATCTTTTTTATTATTAAGGCTCCTGATTAGTCATCACAACCATATTGAATCGTGACGTAGAAGCGAGAAATGACACATTAATTTTTCTTATTTGCCATTTGTAAATAAAGACAATTTGGATAAAACAAAATGATGAGATCGTTTTAAAACATTTGTAAAAACGGACGAAAACTATACTTATTCCCTCTGACAGTCAGTAAATAATCATAAAGTGATAAAAGGCACGTGAAATGTTTTTATTTAATATGCATGCTTATTTTCACTTACACCTACCTTTTATCACTTTTTATAATTATTTACTGACTGTCAGAAAGAATAAGCATAGTTTTCTATTTTTACAAATGTTGTAAAGTGATCTCATCATTTGGTTTTATCGAAATTGTCTTTATTTATAAATGGCAAACAATAAAAATTAACGTGTCATTTCTCGCTTCTGACTTCACGACTCAATGTGGTAATTACTCAGAAGTTTTAATGATAGGAATACTAGTGATTTGGTTTACTCTCTCTCTCTCTCTCTCTCTCACTCTCTCTCTCTCTCTCTCTCTCTCTCTCTCTCTCTCTCTAACGAAGCGTTTATTAACGATTCAATAAAATTTTGCCGACAGGTCACGTTGGTGAGATGGCACGTGTTCTTATGACACCGTTACAACATCCAATCGTTGGCAGGTTACATCCGACGATTGCTAATCCTAATTAAAAATTTTAATAACAATCGTACAAATGTGCAAAGTATTTTTAGATGAAAATTACTGTATTTATATTGTCGCAATTTTGTTTATGTAAATTGATTAAATACTTCAATTATACTTTAATTAAAATATTATGTTTACATGTACTGCGCCAGTGAATAGTAACGATTATCGATCTAATTAAAAGTAACTAGATCAATTCTAAACAGAATCATAAGGCTCGTAATTTGTTTTCGTAAAACTTGTAAGAACTTATGACTGACACTGTAATTCTATGCGTATGTATAAGACGTACGGTCATGCATAAATATCCACGATTTTTTATAAATCTTACGGCTAGCAAGAAGCTGTCTGTAAAGATATTACAATAAAATTACAAACGCTTGTAAGTTCTTACTAGTCTTACGAGAACATGTTATAAATTTTATGATTTTCTTAGAATTAAGACCCATAAATTAAATAAATTGTACCTGTAATAGAAAATGAAGATGTTTATTTAAATAAGGAATTATTTGCAAACACATATATTTTTATATCTTTTCCAGTGCTTCTATACATCAAACTGCAAATAAAATATTTCATACATTATAAATAAATTTACCGTAGAATTTTACACCATAAAATTATTTTATTGCTAACGCGCGCGAGCAAAACGCAAATAAAACGTTTTGCATATGTGAGGTGTGACTAAAATATGTGGTTAAACTTTACGATTTAAATTTCAAAATTTAACTATATATGCTATTTTGTGGAATGACTTAAACCAACTTCCTTTAGGCATTCTTAAAATTTAACTGTGTAATCGCATACGGAGTATAATATTTTCAGGTGTATTCTATGATACGAAAGTACGTAAAAATCGTTTCACAGCAAGCTTATGTATGGAACGTGTATGAAACTACACCTATGTATACATTCCAAAAAATGCAGTAATCAATTAGACATATTCTTTTAATAAAAATAATATTGATACCTTTTCTCTCTCTCTCTCTCTCTCTCTTATTTAAAATTAAAATCATTATGTTCTTCCTCTTAGGTTTTTCTTTCACGAAAAAGATATTGGTTACTAAAATTAGATTAACAAATTTTTATAAGTTTTATTTACATTTTCTAAAATTATTTTTCTTGTATTTTTTTTTCAAGGAAAACTACGTAAGTTGTTACTATAATAAAACCACCAATTAAACTACTAGTATAAAGTTCATTTAAAGAATATGTCATGACTGATTTGTACATTCTCTAAGACAGATAAAAGATGAGCATGAATAGAGATTGCCATTCATTTCTTTCTTAACGTTAACCGGAGCGACAGAAAACTGCTGCAGAGCTCAAAATCAATTATTGCACTAATTGTGGCTACGACCAGGAAAACCACGATCGTTGTGTGGGTGACTTTGGCGTAGTTGGCATAGATGAGGACGGTGTACCGGTCTGTTTCTCATCCAGTTGATTTTTCAGTCTAACCTTTTCATTTGTTTCGGTTTGCATTTTCTGCTCATATTGCCGTACATCTTCCAGGTTCATGTCATACCACTCGTCAATCCAGGCAAAAGCTTGTCTGTGACCCAATACTAGAATATCCCTTATACACTAAAATCAAAAAGAAAATAGAATAATTAATATGTAATCACAATGTACTTTTAATGGGGAAGACTCTAGAGTTTAGTACTGTTCTTTGAATATTACATTCAATCTGTATATCGAGAAACCGAATTCATATAAACAATAAGAATCTTATTGGATCAAGTAAAATCATTAATCTCAGTTGTTAATTCATATAACTTTGTATTACTAAATATTAAATATATTCTGGACAGTAATAATTATATAACTATTGAAAAAAATATTACTAAAATGTAAGGCAGATGAATGGTCAATTAGACAAACTTACTCTATGTATGAAATCTTCCACTCGCGTTTGCATACCCCAGACTTCAAACGAGGCATGAACCAATTTATACGAGCACATTATAGGTTGTGTTGTGTCCCTCCAACCTTCAACCAAGGGGCCACGGCCTGTTCTTTTCGATTGAAAGTACTTTGGATCCTGTTACAATTAAGACATCTTGATTAGAATTAAAATCTAACGTTAGGAATTAAATATGGATCAAATTATGGTTATAGGCAAGCCTACTTCTTCCTCTTTGTAATGTTTCGCGGAGAGCTCGTCGTATGCAATATCTACAAAATCGACTTCTCGATGGATCAATTCCATGGGTGACAGCGCTAAGCACTATAATTTAATAACAATAGAATCATCAATATTAATATTATATTATTAAATAAAAAGTAATAGCAAAATGTATATTACAAGTATGATGTAATAATAAGTTATTTACATTTTCTGTGGAGCCATTGTTGTCTTCATACCGTGTATTTATCGCTATATGGAACTTTGGCATAAAGGAACACTGAAAGAAAAGAAATTCAGGAATAATATAAAATTTTATAGCAATATTCATACTGAACGTTACTCACAGTGTAGTCTGCAGTCGCCAGGAAGGAATAAACATGTAAGAAAATAAAAAAAATTAAAACAGTTTAACTTCTTTCTTTTTTTTTAATACCAACATTTGAAAATCATTATTTTTATTAGTACCGTAATTTCATACAACTATGGTCCTACGCCACAACTATGGTCCAAACACCCGCGCGCACGACAATCCCGATACGTAGATATAATAAGTAGATATAATTGTAGAAATATTAATTAAATGTAAAAACACTAAATTACCTGTCATGTAGACCAGCGAGAACACAGAATAGCTTGTCGTGATAACCGATGGTCGAGAAAGTTTGCAGATAACGAGGTTAGTTGCCAACTTTCTCGGCCATCGGTTATCACGACAAGCTATTCTGTGTTCTCGCTGGTCTACATGACAGGTAATTTAATGTTTTTACATTTAATTAATATTTTTACAATTATATCTACGTATCAGGATTGTTGTGCGCGCAGGTGTTTGGACCATAGTTGTATGAAATTACGGTACTAAAAGAGAGTTATGTTATTTTCAATTTCTAAAGTAATGACTGTAAAATTTGATAAAAAACAATTACACTAGTTTACAAAGTTTTGTGCAAGAGTAAGGCCCAGTTTCACAACTCACGGTTAACTCTTAACCGAGGTTCAACTTATTTGTCACCTTTTTCCAATTCTAGAATTGAAAAGAGATA